GTTTTGTTAGAATTTACCTACACCTACCACCACCTACTACCACACCTACTACACCTACCACCAATTTACCCTCACCTACTCCTCACCTACTACCCAAACCCTCTCCTATATAATGAGCCACTCTGATTTGTAATAGAATATATCAATCAATATATCAAATACATCAATCAATAATACATTTATTTTTACATGGTATCAGAGCAGGTTTAGAACCTAATATTTTTTGCTTCCCCGGCGGGCGGCAACCTCGCCTTGGCCGCCCCCCGGGCCTCAACCTAGTCCGCTAAAATTCTCTACACATACCTTCCCTCTTCTTCACCACCTCGCCGAAGCAAACCCAAAATCCCTCTGGGACATTTCGTCGAACACCATGTCTGCAACAATGATGGCGTCTCCAATACCAGATCAATCCTTCCGTCGGACCACTACAAGCTCTTGAAATCAAACGTCGACGCTTTGAATCTCATCCAGCTCGGTCTCACTCTCACTGACGCCGCCGAAAACCTCACATACCTCGGCTCCGGCGAGAGCGGCTTCATTTGGGAGTTCAATTTCTATAACTTCGACGTCGCGCGTGACCCCCACGCACCGGACTCCGTCGAGCTCCTCCGCAGCCAGGGCATCGAGCGACTACCTCAAGGCTACCAGTGGGTCCTTTGCTGCAACCGCAGGCACCACCGACGCATCCGTAGGCGGTGGATAACAACTGCGCGTCACCATCGCAACATGAATCTAACGCTGGAGCTCTGCCGCCCTCTTCCGGCATCATTGGCAACCTCCCGGTATCGTTGTCGGAGACAGCACCACCATCGTCGCTAATCTCCGTTGATATCGATCTCGAGCTTGGAATTATAGCTGAAAATGAGAACAGACCGTTTAAAAGAACACACCATACAACACGCCCACACCCATACAAAGGGAGATGAAAGATAGCATGTTTTGGAGCTAAACAACACACCCACACACCATACACAACACACCCAGATACACACCATACATTCACACACCGATACAGACAGCACGACACAGACCCACGCCATTCACACTTGCATCGAAGCTCTCTCTCTCTCAATCCGGCAAACAGATTTTCTCTCTCTCACTTTACTTTTTTTCCCACGCACCAAAACCTAATCATCCTGCTGGCCATGTATCTTCTTCCACCACTCTAACCAAACACCACTCGGTTCCCCACTACCCCCTTTAATTTTTAATTTATGTTATGTTTTTACTTTTCATCATCAGCATGTTCACACTCTCTTCAACTTTCTTTTCTTTTCTATATATACATACATATTTTGTTTATTATAATACCAACCCACATTCAACACCATCTCACTAATTTTTCTGCTCCAAACAACCTTGTGTCATTCTTGCCATCTGGCTTGCGCAACACCCTTGTTTTCTTCAGATCAGGGCACCCCGCTCACTGTTCTACACACACACAAAAAACAAAAACAAACAAAAAAAAAAAACCTTTCTACCATTTTTTTTCCACATCTCCACTCTGTATTGAGCCGTTCTACTCCACTTTATTAATCCATTTGTTTCAACCTCCAATAGGTTTCTATCTTCAAACCTATTTGAGTTTGAGAGGGGGTATTATACATATATCATGGTGAGCATGGTTATACACCATGCGAACCACCCAAGCCACCCCATGGCGCACTCTCTAAGTCGCTCCCTTAATGTACCACCAAAGTTTTCTACAACGGTCCGGCATGACCCCGTAAACTGTCCTGACATTGATTCCGGTTAGCTTCTACATCGGTCCGGCATGACCCCATAAACTGTCCCGACATTGATTCCGGTTAGCTTTTATATCGGTCCGGCATGACCTCGTAAACTGTCCTGACATTGATTCGGTTAGCCTCTACATTGGTCCGGCATGACCCCGTAAACTATCCCGACATTGATTCCGATTAGCTTCTACATCGGTCCGGCATGACCCCGTAAACTGTCCCGACATTGTCTGCTACAACGGTCCGACACGACCATACAGTTTCTTCTCCAACTATTTGACACGACCATACCGTGTCTTCAATAACGGTTTGACACGACCATACAGTGTCTCCTATCCTATTTTATTTTATTTATTAGCTTACTTTCCTGTTTTGTTACTCTCTCCAAACTCAAGTTGGTTAGTACCTATCCTCCTTGAGTTTGAGGGGGGCTATTAGTGTAATATTAGTGTGCAATATCTAACTATCCAGCTATCCCACTAATGATAATGTTTCTGCTTTCGGTGTCTACACTATCCTCCTTGAGTTTGAGGGGGGTTGTTAGTGTAATATTAGTGTGCAATATCTAGTGTAATATTAGTGTGCAATATCTAGTTGTCCAACTGTCCCACTAATGATAATGTTTCTGCTTTCGGTGTTAGTTAGTTAGTATCCTATGTGTACCACCCTTCCTCTCTATAAATGAGAGTGTTGTAAATCACTGAATAATCAATCAATTGAATTCATACAATTTATTCTCTCTGTATTTCTCTCTTTATACATTGAATTTCACAGCCCTCAGTCAACCTCAAATTGGGTTGTCAAATTATTTGAAGTAGAATTGGGTTGAGGAAAAAAAAAATACGTATTTACTGCAAAGCTTTGTACTAGGATGAACAACACAAAAAATTCAATGAGATACTGCTGAAATATTTTAACAAGAAATAAATAATCAACTTAGCTTGTTATCAGCCAAAAACTAAATAAGTCAAACTAGAAGGTTCATGGAAAAAGAGACAAAGATATTAACTCATCGAAAAGCTAAAACATTACATGTGTTATTTTGATAAGACTTATCAATGCTATCTCAATTTGAGAGAGCATTTGGGTTTAGTAGGTCCGTTTTGGAATCCACTTCAGTAATCTAAATCATTCACTTTTTAAGACTCGTTGAATAAAATATTCATGCAAAAGATTAAGATGATTGGATATCAGTAATTATATGTTTGAATCACATTTGTATTACAAAAAATAAATGACTATTCTTAAAATCATTTTTGTAGTTTATTTTTATATAAAAAAAATACAATTCAAACATATAGCTACTTATATGGAATCATCTTTATTTTTTGTAAAAATATTCTACTCAATTAGCCATAAAACGTGAACAATTCAAATAATTAAAATCGGTCTCAAAATAAGTCTACCAAGCCTTACCTTGTTTGGGGACTAAATATTTTAATCAAAAAGTCACCATACATTGTCACATGTCTTTACTTTTTGCACATTTTTTTCATAAAAAGTCAAAAAATTACTAAAATAGTTTATTCCCTAACGAGCCAAACCAATGATATGCTAGATCACGTGAGGAAAAGGAAAGAATGCCATAGCTAAAAATTAGGTTCATGTAAGTCTAAGACAAAGAACTCTATCATCACCAGATTTTGAAACTATAACAGACCCATCAAACATTGTAGCCTCGATTTTTATAGTTTCGTTCTCTCCAAATTTGCCCATCGATGAAATCCACTGCTTGCCAAGTCGATCTTCCTCATTGAATGCATTGAATTCCGTAGTGGGCAAGACAATTTTAACACAGAATGTAATACATTAATACGCAAAGAATTTGATTTTTATTGAAGTGATTGATTAGAAAGACTAATTGATTATGTTCTGTTTGATTGCTGTGATAGGCAAGAGGTAAACAACTGACATCCCACTTCAGATTCAGAGGCATTAGGACATCTCCAACGGTGCATTACTTTTTCATCAAATTTGACTAAACACTCTTTGATATCGCCTGCTCCAATGGAGGGATTTGGTTTTTCATCAAACCACCAGCCAGTCAATGCAAATTTTTCACAACAATTGAGTTTGCATCATATCACAACAATTCAAGATCCATTTGACCCTAACTTTCAGAAAACCCTAGACTCTTGTTGATATGTAGGTAAGTCATGGGGATGATGAGGGAAGGAGAGTTCCACGATGATGGTTCATAGGAAAGTGGTGCTTGAGGCTGGTACATGGTTCATGGTTAGCAATGGTTGTGGAAGAGGCTGCGGAGAGATAAAAAAAGGAGGTGGTAGCAATTTAGCAAGAAAGTGTGGGTTTGGAAAGAAAGACAATGTTAATTGTATGAGAAAGATTAAGGTCAGTTTGGTTTGGGTGAACAAAGGTTAATGATAGGGGTTGGTGTGCTTTTGACCAGAGGTAATATTAATTTCAGTTAGCTGATAACTTACAGAAGAAGACCTTGTAATTTTTCTAAAAATTATATAATAAAAAAAAATTAAAAAAATCTATAATTGTTAGAATTAGTTAAATCAAACAACGACCATAAATGTGATTTCAATTCAAATGGGTTTCAATTCAAATGGGTTTCAATTCAAATGTGTGTATCAACAGTGCTCTTGTTGATATGTATGGTAAATGAAATACTGAGGAGCATTGTAAACCTCGGTTTCGGGCCCACAACCGAGCTGCTCCACAGCACCTCTCCAGCCGCACTTGAAGAATAAATCCTTTGCTGCTTCACATTGTTTGATATAAAGGGCTTCACCCTCCTTGAAACCCCGGAGCTCGGCGTCTTCTGCCTTCTTCTTCAGCTCCGTTATCTCGGTGTCCTTCTTACCTTCGAGCTTGACTAACTCACGAAGGTACTTATCCTTCATCACAGTTAGGGCCTTCTGTTTGTCTGCATCGGCCGAGGTAACTAGTCCGGTCAGACGAGCTACCTCGGCCTCTAGCTCGGCTGTTTTCTGGTAGGACTCCTTCAGTTCGGTTGTTTTTGCTTCAACCTCTGCCATGGCTGGCCTTGCTGTGTTCCTGAGCTCCAACACCTTTTTATGCGCAATTTGGCTCTTTTGCACGGCCTGAAAAAGAAACTAATGACAAAACCGAACAGAAAGATTGGTAATATTTAGAGAAATAAGAAGAACAACTTACCAGGATCATGGATTTCGTGGACGAGCGGATGGACTTTAGCTTGGTCAAGTTCTTGTGGTGCTCCATGTCAGTTGGGAGGCACACACTCTTGGCAAGGTTGAAAGCCATCAGATGGTCTTTTTCAGCGACAACTGAATCAGTGTCCTGAATATCACGGTTCTAGAAAGTCAATTTAGGTGCCCATTTGGAAGAGCTGGCTCGATCGGCATGCTCCGGTTGCAAGCTCGGTGGAGGGCTTGGCGGCAGAGTGGTTTCGTCTTCATCAACTAAGCGTTGTTCGGTCTGGGTAGTATGGGCGCACTTATTTCGGCGTGATGAAGAAGGTTGTAGAGATGGAAGGGCCACCACTGTTTCCTGAGTCTGGTTGGATGGTGGTACTTCGGCTCGGTTTGTCTCGGTCAAGAGGGCCCTGACTCTGTTTCTGTTGGCCATTTCTTCTTCAGCAGTCAATGGGATTAGGTTAATTTGTGGCAAGGTTGGGTCCGGTTCGGGGGCGTCCTCCAACAAAAAGTCAGTTACTTTGGCTTTTTGGCGGCCGCTGTATCTGTATGTCGGTTCGAAATTTAGAAGTTTGGCCCAACTTCTTTCTGGAAAACGTAGTGCAGCGCGGATAGTGTTCAGGTTGGAGTAACTATACAAGGATTGAAGATGGGCTGAATCTGCATAAAGAAGACAAACTGTTAGTTCGGATCAGGAACGGGTAACCGAAATAAAACAAAGCATGCCAACAAACCGAAGTAATTATACCAGGTTCTCCTTTATTCCAGTTTATACTTCGGCCAGGGATCTGGGCTTGCTGGTCTTCAAAATTGCCAGACACCCAGAAAAAGTCATCATCATTCAAGTCTTTGTCCGGTGTGTCTTTTATTATTTTTTCTCGGCGGCGGCGTATTCTAAGATAGTAAACCCAGCCGTCTTCTTTTGACCCTATGGAGTACTGGTGGAAGATTTTGGCTAAGCCAAGGTTAATGCCAGCTCGGCGGTTTAGCTCGGCTATGCCCATTATTATGCGGTATGAGTTGGTGGAAAGCTGGGTTGGGCATATTCTCGTTTGCCTAAGGAATTTACAAATTAAGGGTTGGACTGAAAATCTTAGTCCGGTTTCTATTATTGATAAAAGGGTAAAGGGTACAAAGCCCTGGTTTCCCCAAGGTATAACATCTTTTTTGGCTAAGGTTAGGTAGACATCGTCAGGGATGTTATAATCCCTTCGGAATTCGGCCATGCCACCTGGTGTTTCTACTAAAAACCTATATTTACCCATTTATTCCTAAGTTATGTATAAATTATGCTTGGTGCTAGCTCGGTCGGAAAATGTTGCTATGTAGCTCGGTTGAGCGATCAAAAGGAGTGCCTGGGCAACCTAAGTCTGCAAAGTGAAAAACAGAAGTGTTAAGCACAGATCTTTAGACCGTGCTACAAAGTAAAAACAAGTTATGTCCTACTTCGGCTTTGTGAAATGTTGCAGGTCCTATCTCGGTTTCAGCAAGGTGCTTGGTAGCTCGGTTGGGGCAAGTGATTTGTTAGACCAGTTGAAATTCTAGGGGCAGCTTTCTTAGTTCGGTCTGAACTAAGAGTGCTGGTTTAGCCCCAAGATAGTTCGGTCGGAATTGAGGCCTTCAAACACACTAAGTGCAGACCTAGTTCGGTTTGTTATCTCGGCTAAGATAAACAAAAAAGATGGTTTTTTGACTTGTTAAAACTACTGGTACAAGTGTTGGTTCGGTTGAAAGGTCTAGCTAGACTTACACATAGCATAAACAGTATCCTAGTTCGGTTGAGACGTGTTTATGGATTAGAGTGTTCTACAGATTGCTTCGTAAAGTTCATTGGGTTCTCATGAAGTTTTTTCCCAGAAAATAAGGCAGAAAAAGCAAAAACACTGTTTTGTAAAAACACATGAACAGATTGATGTGGATTGTATAAAGTAAATACGAAAACAACAAAAGCAAGAAAGATGGATTTGAGTGACTTACCAGATGAAGGGGTAGAAGCACTGAAGATGAAGCAATGGCAGTAAAGAACACGAGCTCCTTAGTTACAAGAAGGAATGCGAGAAAGAGAGAGAGAAGAGGTGAATAGGAAGATGTAATGATTTGGAAAGGAAAAATGAAAAGATTTGTTTTTGTGGTTAATGGCGGGAACTGTTCAAATTTTGCGAAGTACGAGGGCGGCGTGACAGCTGCAAAGGACCAATCAGAGCCTGCCACGTGTCACTAAGATGGGAAGCGATTCAGTTTCTGTGACTGAAGAGACGTTTTGGCCGGATAAGGATAAGCTTGGCTAAAATGTAGCTCGGCTAAAAAGGCTTGAGAGTTTTTAGCTCGGCTGGAAAAGCTAAAGGGTTTTTTTAGCTCAGCTGGAAAGGTTAAAACTTTAGCCCGGTTTATAGACAGGTAATCCCTATCATGCTACGCAGATGGAATTAAGGGGCAATTGAGAGGCGAATTTATATGTAAATTGGGCCGAGTTGGGCCGTTGTGGGCCTCAGAGCGAAGGGTTGAGTAAAAATGCCATAAAGTTACTCCGATCCCAAAGAGGTTAGCTTGGTCACCATACTAAAACTTGTACCGGTTGTCGCAGTATGGTTAGTTCGGTCGCTACAGTTAGTTCGGTCATGGCATAGGGAATCGAAGTATACTGAGCCCTCTTCAGGACTTGGTTTTGGGTTAGTTCGGCTTAAACTCTTCTATGGATAGTTCGGCTTAATCTCTTCTATGGATAGCTCGGTCTTGGCATGTGAAGCCGAGGTAGGAGAAAAACAAGGAAGAGCCGAACTAACAGTTAGATCGGTCACTCCAGTTAGTCTAGCATGGCAATGTTATTTCGGTCGTATGGTAGTCCGGCTCGGACCATGGTAAAACATCTCACTTGGTTTAAGCAGTGAAGGGGGGTGTTAAAGGATAAGCATTATCCTTCAGGAGTATGAATCTTAGAAGGACTCTGCATGGAGAAGTAAGTTCCTACTTGGATTAATGTCACATGAAACCTAAAAGCTCACCAATATCACCTATGGAGAGGTAACACAACTTTGATACAAGAGCTTTTTGTCTTTGTCTATTTTTCTGACTTAGGCATCGGAGGGTTTCCGGCACACACCGCCGGCTAGCTCACGTTCGTGTTTTGAGGGAGTAAAGCGACGACGTTTGGAGGAGCGCAGACTTGATCAACAGAATTATACGAGAAGGTTTATTTCTTTCCCGTACATATTTAAATGTGATTTTATCTCATACGCTCAACAGCTGTTTGATGAAGCCTCACAGAAATGTA